CCTAATTTTCAGGCACCAATAGCTTCAGGTACATTGCTGCTTCCAACAGCCGCAAGCTCACAATTGGATCAGTTGCTTTTATTTAGACAAAATGCTTCGTGTTATTGCCAGTGATCTGCACACACCCAATTATGGGGTTAAAAGGGAAGAAAGGCAGAGATGGGAGGTGGTAAATCAGACCAGTTCTTTCAACACATCTTTCTTCACCAAAGACAATACCCAGCTAACAATAACAGATTCACCCCTCTCCTCATGAGCCTCTTGCTCAGCAGGATTTTCTGCTTTCCCTTGGCTAGAAATACAAAGATGTGGAGCCAACTCTGAAGATCAAAGAAGTGGATGGCTTGGAGCTGGTGAAGAAATTCTCGGAGCAGATGGAAAGCATGCTCCACAGGAAGGTTGAAGCTGTTGAGGTATGACCATGGGGGCTATGGGAAGGAAGTCCTCTCCTGTCAGCCCCAGAGCAGTAGACGCAGGCCTCCTGCCTGTACCAGGAGTGTGTGGGCACAGAGGTTGCATGAGGACTTCCTTGCCCAACCAAATGCCTGCTGATGCAGCTGGTTCACGCTGAGCTTTAAGTAGACACTGGTAGGAGGATGTGGGCGTTCAGACAAGGGAATGCTGGCTTCTCCTTCAGCCCGAAGTAGGAAATAAGATAAAAACAAAGTCTAGGAATAAATATGAGGAATAAACACTCTTTTCTCCTAAAAGAGGTTTGATTCTAGAGCTGTTTAAAGAGAAAAAAAATCTCTCAAGTGAAAATAACCTTGCATAATGCCCTCTGGGCTATTGAAGACTGGTAGCTTGTTTCAGCTGTGTGTGTGGCTCAAGGGAAATTCCTGCAGCTCCTGAACACGAGCTGTGTTCAAGGAAGGAGCTTGGATTTCCAGCTGTGTACATGGGGAAGCGTGGAGGAGGTGGCAAGAGGTCTTTAACTGTTGCTGTGCTGGAGATCAGAGCAGGTAATCATTATGGCCCCTCTTATTGCATCTAAGGGTCTATTATATTCCCTTATATTTACCCACTATGAAAAGCATATTTCTGTAGTCACAGAGCCTTGTCTGTTTAAGGCTCTAATGTGGAAAAGTCATCCAGAAACACATCATTTGAATCTCAAAGTGAAATGTGGGCATATTTAGACCCAGGGCTTTGGCCCATAACATTAAATTCATAGCCAGACTTTTCCAGTATTTGGATTGCCTTATCCTTTGTGAAGGAGCAAAAAGTAGTTTTGCTGAGACTGTTGCTGATTGTGCAACTCTGAAAACATGTACACGTTTAGCTGGATTCCTTCCCAGTCTGTACCGATCGAGAATTAGTGCCCCGAAGCATCATATTGGAGAACAGTAGTTGATTATATTGCTTCCATAAATGGTAAAAGCTTATAAATGGCCATAGCATTGCTGAGCCCTTTACGAAATCAAGTCATGGGCTTTGTCTCGGTAACAATACCAGACTGAGACTCCCACAAGGCCTTTTCCTTTGATGAGATACTGACATCAGGCTGGGTCTGAAATGCCTTTCCCATGGTTTTTTGGAAGGGTTCATGGAAAATGAAATTAAATCTCTGACTGTTGTTTCTCTAAATGGACATGTTTCTGTTTGTATATGTCCTGTGATATCTAAGATCGCTCAGGGGTTTAGTAGGGACTCTGGAGTAAGTAGGTGTGAATATACTCAGCAATAAATAGCTGCAAACATACCTTCCAAGCTGTAAAGTTGCAGCACAGAATGACAGGTCAGCAGAAAAAGAGGGAAGTTTATAGCCCCATGACTCTGTGTTGTGGTGAAGGTGGCAGTCATGTGTCTTTTCACTAACTGTGTGAATGGCTGATACATCTGGAACAGCTTCTGCAGGGCTTTCCACAGCACCCCCTCACCCATCTTTCTGTGTGCTTGCTTTAGAGGTTGGTGGAGGCAGCAGAAGATGCAGATCTGAACCATGAGTACAACTCCTCACTGGAGGTAAGTTTATCCCTGTCAGTGACAAAATACAACACGCATCCTCAGAGACTAGCCAGAAGGCAGGCCTAGCAGCACCCAGCCACCTCAGGCTCCTAGACAGGGTAGGAGTTTGCTTGTCTTCAGGACTCACAGCTTGTCTAGAAACCAGTGTAAGCAAGTGACTCCCTTGACAGATCCCAAATGCAGTAACACCTAGGAGGTCAGTCCCTTTGGCTCCAGGACTGGAATGATTTAGGAAGACGTTGCGTTGCATGATGTTATTGGCATTGCATGTACTGCACACCAACGTTGTCATTATGTGACAAGTTTGTGCAAATTAGCTGGTGCTTTGTGGGTTACTTGACTGGAACGAGCTAAAAATTGAGTGTGTATGAGCAGTGAAGAGGACGCTGTTACAAACACCCACAGCAAAACGTTAATCCCAGTAAGATGAGTTTCTTACCATCTGTCTCAATGGCTCCCATCATCTTTTCTCTACCCTGCAGACACCCACTTCTCAGGACTCCCTGTTAGGTGAAACCTTGCTGCTGTCCAAGCAATTTGGATAATTGGCTTACTGTTAAAAACTGTAGCCAAGCTATGCAATTATTGATGGTGAAGGGGCCTGGAGTGAAAACTCTGATGAAAAAAGTCCACTGTCCACAGTAATAGCACAGAGTGCTTAGCGGAAGTACAGACTACCCCTGCAAGTACACTTCTCCATGCTGGGAAAGGGTGGAAATGAAAATGCTTCTTGAAATCACGCTATCTACCAATTTCCTCTCCTACCTCTTTAAGCATCATGTTACAGTCATGCTAGTTGGGTCAGCTGCATTCACAGTAAGGGTCATGGGTGAGTTGGGGTACATGACCCTGTATTTGCACACACAGCCCACACTCCCGAGTACTGTTAGTGCTTGAACATAAATCCTTGCATAACCTCTGCCCTCAGATAAAGTCAACAAAAATCTATTAAAAACACCTGTTATTTAAGGCTGAGGAGTGTCCTGAAGATACTAAAGTGACCATAGATGCTAAATCCCCAGTGGCCTTCACAGGGGGAAAACTGTGGTGTCTTTGAACACCTTCTGCTCTCTCCTTTGCTCTTGACAAGCACCTTCTGCTTGGAGTGGCAGAGTGAGGGGATAATCCTGCCTCGATGTACATCAGGAGTTAACTCCAGTAAATGACAGCTGTAGAGACAGGGCAAGTAAGGTCAGCATTGGCAAGCCCTGTAGCAAACTTGGGAGCCAAACGCAGTGAGACACTCCACCTCTCCACCTAGTCACTTAAATACCTCTGAGGGACCACAGGAATCTGTCAGTGTGTCCCTTTGCTCTCAGGTGGCTCTTCTGCTGTTGGTTATGACCATGCTTTCTGTCATGTGGGCAGCTGACAATAAGAAACCAGGCAGAAACCATCATTTGGGCAGCTTGACACTTTTCAGTTGGTAATGGCTCTTGTTTGCTTCTCACCTTGATCCTGTTTGAAGCCCAAATTCTCCAGATGTCCCTTCTCTATGTTTTAAAGAGCATTTTTTTCCAAGCAGTACTGGTAATTGTCTTATTCTCTCTTGTTTCCTTTCTCTTCTCCATTGTCTTTGTCAACAGTTTGATTACTACAACTCTTTCCTGATTAATGACAAGGATGAAAATGACAATTATGTGGAGCTCGGAGATGAATTCGTTTTGGAGCCAAATGAGCATTTCAATAACCTGCTGGTGAACACAACATACAGTGATATCCAGCTCCCCACCAATGTCTACAACAAAGGTAACAGCCTCTACTGGCCTCTACTTTCTCACTACTAGTAGGTTGCTGTGGAAACTACCAGTAATAATACTGAAAAAAAGCATAGGAATAGAAAAAAAAAAAACAAACTGACAGAAAAGAAAACAGGGCTGGAAAGGTACTGTCCTAAGGCATGGTCATGTCTGTGCTGTAGTTTGTCACTGTGACAGGGCTTAGGTATAATCCGCTCTTGGAAGACGTCTAATGATGGACAGTCCTCCATCTTAGGCAGGCAATGTAGGCTCTTAGGGTGCATCTACCCCAGCAAAGCAGTTGAGAAATAATCTGTAATGTGAATTTATTAGCAATTGTTACTCTGTACAAAGGTCAGATCTATGAAGGTCTTTAGATGTCAAGGATCTCATTGGTTTCAGCTGAGAAATTAGACCCCAATTACCTTTGTATTATAAGGCACTAACACCTCACGGGGACACTCTGGTGAGCATATCTGTAGGGGACTGGGGGTAACTCACAAATGCTACTGGGACATGACTGTTCTGGGCTATTTTGTGTTCTCAGCAAGCCTTTGGCACTTTGGCAGCTGCAGGAACCCAGGGAGGCAACTGAGGCTCACACGGCCTCATTTGTGCCCGGTCTGTCCCCTCTCCCCCTGCACATTCACACCACTCTCTCTACACTCCAGAAATCGGTCCATCCCCAGGCTGGTCAGCACACCGCCAAATCTGCAGGCTGAGACACCAACTGCGATTGTCCTAAGTTTACTGCTCTTTTTGGCCAACATTCAAAGCTGTCTGAGCTGGCTCCTTGCCTGCCTCCCCATCAGCTCTTCCACTTGCATATGTTTTGGCAAGGAAAAAAAAAAAGCGCTATTACTTCTCGCATAGATGGAGCTCATTTACAATCTTCAGGACCAGACGGGGCAGACTCTGGTGACTGTGCTGACAACTGCTGCGTTATTTAGAGGCACAATAGAGGGAGTTCTATTTCTCCCATGATTTTAAATTAATTCCATCTGGTCTGACAGCCCCAGACACTAAAATCTGGCTCACAATAGAGCCACCAGCAGAGCTGGCTGTGGGGAGCTACAGCGGAGCTACATGAAGTAGGCTGCTGCCTACAGCAGCAAACAGAGAGGTGGCCAAATGACCGCTGTCAGAGACAGCAGAGAGGCACTGCCCAGCTAGCTGATTTCTTGCCTGTACAGCTAAACACGAACCAGCTCCTCTGGCTACTGCTGGAGGATGAGCAAGAGATGGAGGAAGAGGAGGGTGCTTCCATGCCCAGGGGTCCTCCCAGGAGCAGTGCCTGGCAGTACTCACTCCCCTCTTGCAAGCGGCAGCAAGCCTGGCTCCCCACAGCTCTTCTGGCTCCCTTCCTGCATGCGTTACTTTGGCCTCATCACTGGGGAGTCACAGTTCAATTTTTCCCCTATTTTGACCAAAACCGCCTTTAGTAAAGTGACTAAACAGGAAGCGGTAGGTCAAAGCCCCATCCCTTTCCACATTAATACAGTTAATCCTACAAGGACCAGCTGCTTATAATTCCCTGTTTCTATTGCTGCTGCTCTGTTTGGTCTCCTGAGGCAATGAGTCAACGCAGGCACCAAATATACACTGCCTCTTATAAGTTCTTGCAAATCTGAAAATTCCTATTGATTCTGATGAGATCAGGGGCACAGGAGGACAGCTCAGGCTTTATGAAAGAAAGGACAGGCAAAGAAGAAAAGAAATAATTTTGGGGGGAAAGAGAGAGAGAGAGAAACGGCATGTAAATTCTAGAGCTCCTTTGTCTTAGGTAATTACATCTAGCATAATTTTAAACACACTTTGTGGAAAGGCTGTTCCACTTAGTGGTGCATCAGGCAGTTGACTTACAACAGCCGCACATCCCCTCTTAGGTAGCAGCTGAGACCTGGCTGCATGGCGTGCCAGTTGTGCTCAGCACCATGCTGGTTTTCCTGGGTCTCTCAGAGCCCTCTTCCAACCGGACGTAAAGCCCAAGGGCAGACAAGGTTGGAAAGGGAAATGGGGATAATAGCACATGACCAAGCTGAGATCACCTGTAAGTGGCCAGTGGAGACCTGCCCTCCAGGATTTACTTGAACGATGCATCCAACTCCCTGCCCAATGCCAAAGCTTTGGACAAGGCTGCATTCCTCCTGGGGCTGCCTTTGTTCCCATCCCCCTCCTCCATCGGGGGTAAAGCTGTCCTCCCCTCTTGTGCACACTTTTTCCCCATTTTCTATTCTTTCCCCCACAGACCCTGACATCCTGAATGGCGTTTACATGTCAGAAGCCTTGAACCCTATTTTTGTGGACAACTTTGAAAGGGATCCCACGCTGACCTGGCAGTACTTCGGCAGCTCCACTGGGTTCTTCAGGCTCTACCCAGGTATAAGAGTGGAGATTGGCTTCGCTCTTCCAGCGCAACGCAAGAGTCTTGCAGGACAGTGTCCGTGCCATGGAAGAGCCCAATCTGGGAAGATTGGGAGCCGCATGGCCCCGTGAAAGGCAGGGTGCAGTGAGCAAAACAGCCAGTGCATGGGCTACTGCCATTTAGGCTGAAGGAATAGCATCCGTGGCAGGCATAAACTCCTTTTCCCCACATGGACCAGCCCCCCAGACACGTTGGCCTTGCAACCCCAGAGGATTCTGCTTGCAAGGGTGTGCCTCAGGCAGGCTGCCCTCCAAAAAGCTCACAAAACACCGTGGCAGGACCTGCAAATATTGCAGGTGGTGTGCAGAGGCTGCAGGAGGCCTCCCTGCCTCACTTTCCCCTGTGGTTTTTAGCAGTGGCCATGGCATCTCTCCCATCTCCGAGGCCACACATGGCAGATGCATCTGGTCGGCCTGACTTGTTATCCACTCACCAGCTGCGAGCGGCACGTAAGGTCACGGTGCAAGAGGGGGGCCTCGTGCTCAGAGTAACCCACAAGATCCTCCACAGCTGTAGCTTGGCCTGGTGGCCCTTTCATCAGATGGCTGCATGCCCTTGTTCTATGACCTGTCATGTGTTGTGCAAAGCAGAGATGACTGAACGGAGCCTTTAGCAGGGAATGTGGGACATGTCCCTGTCCCTGCTGCTGCCTTTTTATGCCCTCAACCATCCTTGGGGAGAAAAAGATGTTGTTGAGAACTACATCAAAGTGGCAGAAAGTTCAAAGTAAGTGCAATTGCTCCCCAAATTCAAACAGGCTATGCCTAGGTACTATTTTTAACGGAAATTTAAAAAACAGTTTACTGGGAACAGCCAAAGACCATGCAGCTGTGCTTGTATTTCTGCAGAATGGCCACTGCTCTTGTTGGCCAGACTTGCGTGCCCCGGCGGGGTAGCCGGGTCTCAGCAGTGACCAGCAGAAGTGTGGGTGCCTGGGGAGCGGATGCCTGCCTGTTTGTGTGTGTTGATTGCTCCTTTTGCCGCACCCTTCAGGAATAAAGTGGTTACCAGATGAGAACGGAGTCATCTCCTTCGACTGCAGGAATCGTGGCTGGTAAGAGTTTTGGAGAGACTTGGCCAAAGCACCTTTCAGTCTTCCTCTCTCCCTCTTTTCCAAAGTGACGCCTTGGGGAGCTGCTGATCAGCAGCTACTGCTCCTGCGAGAGACGGGGGGTACATAGACAAAGGCAATAGCAGGTTAGGAAGCCCTGCCAGCGCCAGCCTTCCACACGGCATCTCACATGTGCCACATAGAAATTGCCACCAGTGTATCCTTCTGTCCCATCCTCCTTGTAGTTCTGCAACCAAAGAGATGGGGCTGTTCAGACTCCAGAAACGCAGGGCATTTACTCAACCCATGGCTGACGGAGGCTTTAGCAACTGTCAGTCTCAGCTGGATCTGGGCACATATCTGCAGCCGGCCCAGCACGTGCCAACGCGGGAGGAGAGACGCTGGGGCCAGCGGGGGTGGCAGGCTGGTAGGAGGAGCCCCATCCGATGCCCAACCTGACCCTGCTGGAGCTGTGCTTGTGGTGCATGTTACGCTGGGGCTAACGTCACATTACAGCATCGCGCCTAAGCGTTCTTCCTCCCTGTATGCTTACCTTGCTTCCTTGTGTTCTCCTTTTTATAAAGGTACATCCAAGCAGCCACCTCTCCAAAGGACATTGTCATCATTGTGGATGTCAGTGGGAGCATGAAGGGCCTGCGAATGACCATTGCCAAACACACCATCATCACCATTTTAGATACTCTGGGGGAAAATGACTTTGTCAACATCATTGCAGTAAGTATGGCCCATTTCCGGTGCTGAGTTATCTTACTCGTGCCTCATACTGACTCTTCAGTCCCCTTAGCAAACTGCATAATAGCAAATTACTATGAGGTTCAACAAGGGCAAGTTGCAGGGCCGTGCGCCTGGGTCGAAGCAACCCCCGGTACCAGCACAGGCTGGGGGATGAAGGGACCAAGAGCAGCCCTGCTGAGAAGGACTTGGGGGTACTGGTGGATGAAAAGCTGGACATGAGCCAGCAATGTGCGCTCACAGCCCAGAAGGCCAACCGTATCCCAGGCCACATCAAAAGCAGCATGGCCAGCAGGTCGAGGGAGGGGGTTCTGCCCCTCTACTCTGCTGTAGTGAGACCCCACCTGGAGTCCTGCGTCCAGCTCTGGAGCCCTCAGCACAGGAAAGACACAGACCTTTTGGAGAGGGTCCAGAGGAGGGCCACCAAAATGATCAGAAGGATGGAACACCTCTACCCATAAGGACAGGCTGAGAGATTTGGGGTTGTTCAGCCTGGAGAAGGGAAGGCTCTGGAGAGACCTTATTGCAGCCTTTCAGTACTTAAAGGGGGCTTGTAAGAAAGATGGGGACAGACTTTTTAGCAGGGCCTGTTGCGACAGGACAAGGCGTAATGGTTTTAAACTAAAAGAGGGTAGTTTAGACTAGATATAAGGAAGAAATCTTTTAAAATGAGGGTGGTGAAACACTGGCGCAGGTTGCCCAGAGAGGTGGTAGATGCCCCATCCCTGGAAACATTCCAGGTCAGGCTGGATGGGGCTCTGAGCAACCTGGTCTAGTGGAAGATGTCCCTGCTCATTGCAGGGGGTTGGACTAGATGACCTTTAAAGGTCCCTTCCAACCCAAACTATTCTATGACTCTATGGGCGTTATGGTGGCGTAACTGCAATACTTAGTACCTGTGTTGGATGGGGGATTAAAACCAACTACCCCTGGAAAGTCAGCTTTGTGTGGTCAGCAGGTTGGCTAAGTCATCTCACACCCCTTTATGGAGGATGTTAGCTCTATCTCTTTGCTTACTTAGAGATGTGACTGCAACAGGTAAAGTGCTGTAGAGAGACACCTCAGCTAACAGGGACCTGAGCTAATAAATTCAGCCAGCATAGCCTAGCATAATACTGTGTTTGGGTCCGGTAGCAGTATGATCCTCAGGATAATGTTTCCAGGCTAGAAAATTGCCACCATATGCCTTTTTCTGCACCAGCATCCTGCAAAGCTGCAATCCAGTTCAGAGGCAATCTGCAAAGTCCTGCGTGGAGTTTGGTCATGTTGCCTCAGCATTACTCTCTCCCTTTTTAAGCCCTGGCCAGGATGGGCTGGTTACCCACAGAGAACCAGCACCACTGACTCCAGAAATCAAAACTTTTCCATGATCCATGACAAGACCGGGGGGTTTGGTGCCAGGTTAAAGGCAAATGGCTGCTCACCTCCAAATTTTCAAAGCTAATTCAAGCACCATCTCTTTTGCCAGGCTCCTTTCTATAAGAGTTTGCCAGGGCACGGTCACTGAAATATAAAGTCTGGTTTTTGTTGATAGCTTCTTATTGTGTAAGATAGTTAGAAAGTCCAGTGATGACAGCTCTGTCTTTATATGGCTGAATAGGTGGAAGAGTGAACAGTGTTGGCAGAAAAATAGAGGGACGTCATTAAGGAGTTGGAAATACCATCTGTTCTTCAAAAACAACCCCAGAAAGAGCATATAATATATATTGCTTTACTGTACTCACACCAAGAGCCTACTGTCTCAGACACATTATAGCCTGACCTAAGCTCCTATTGATCAGCTGAGCATCAGTCATCTCTTAGCCATGCTCCTATGAATTATGCTTTTCTGAACCTTGCAGGAAAAGGTTTACGCTGGCATGTTTTACCTCGCGTAAGTATCAGGCTCCGAGCATACACCCCACTAATTATCACAGTTGGTGGATGTGTGGTAACTTGATATGTTATCGTTCAGCCATGTGCCAGAGGCATCAGCCATTAGGCTACAAAACCACTTGCAACATTCGGCTAGAGACTGGGGACTCACAAAATCTCCAGAAGTCAAAAATAAGTGCAAATAGTTCTAGAAGCAAGGCCAGGGGCATAAGCTTAATAGGTTGTGGAGAAACTCTCTGCAGTGTGAGTGGAAAAAAAAGTAACTTTGTATGTGTAGATATGCCCAGATAGAACTCAGCAAAACATCATAATTAATGCATTATTTAAACAAATATAAGATTTTATAAAAATTGTAATTTGCCATGATCACTGCAAACCGTTCTTAAGAGAAATATGTACAAAATGGCATAATGCTCCATACTGTTTTCTGAACATCCACCTAGGAAGTGAACCTATTTTGTGAATTTTCTCCCATTACAACCCCTTTCTTTTTGTTTTCTCTTTGCAGTACAATGATTATGTTCATTTTATTGAACCCTGCTTTAAGGGTATCCTGGTCCAAGCAGATAGAGATAACAGAGAGGTGAGTACCGAGCTCTATCGATGTTATTCAGGTAGTTCTCTTAATGTAATAAGGACATGGGGTTAAGATGCTGTGACGTGAAACTCCGGGGACAAGAAACAACCATCTCCCAGAAGCACGTGGGTTTGCATTTCAGAAACAAGTACCAGTTCAGTGGTGTCTGCTGGCCCCATGGTTCACCTTTGCTTACACGAAGTGGCTGTAATACGGGGTCAGCTGGCTGAACAGCAGCAACCAGCTTCCTTCTGTCACAACGGACTCGGCACCACCGCTGCCGGAGCACGAGCGGACCCAGCTCAGACCGCTGTGGAAAAACAGCGTGCAGAGGGCAAAGGTTCTCCATCTTTGAAACCCCACATTCTCAGACAGGAGAAAAATCAGCCCTTTCCTGGTGACTGAGTTCTTAGCCTGGCCTGATCCTCTGCCAGGGTGGACTGCCAGCAGGCTTTCTTTGATGAAGGTTTTTGCTCCTCTATCCAGGAGGGCTCAGTAGCCCTGAGGTGGTCAGCCTGTGACCAGCTGCTCCACTATCCTCTGGGCTGACTTGTATTTTTAGCCGCTCTTACTCTTTTTCCTTCCTTTTTCTCTCTATTAATACCACAGAGGTAGCATATCCCTTCATGTCTTCAACAACCATATTTCTCTCCTAATTTCTGTCCCAGCTTAGCCCTGGGTCACAGAATATGACTACAGAGCGTGATGTCTCCTGCAGCATTTCCCAAAGGATCCCCAAGCCTTTTGGACACTGTCTTATGGAGAGCACTCTGGGGGTTTCATTTACCACCAGATCAATGCCTCTTCAGTAGTAGACAAGTATTCAAAATTTTTCTTTTTCCCAATCCTGTTGCTCTTGCATGCACAGGAATGTTGTGGGTTTTTTCCTGAAGGGAGCGGATAAGGGAAAGTCCCATTTCTAATAGTTTTGTCCCTTGCATGATGTTTCATGGCCTGCCAATGGTTCACAGCCCACAGGCTGAGAAATGCAGTCCTGCCGTGGCTGCGTGGGCAAAGGTGCAACATGATGGCATTGCCAGCAGAGCAGCCACTTGACTTTCCCACCTCCGTCCATCACGGTGCTGCGCTGCCCTGCCAGCAGTGGCAAAGGATCAGGATCCCAATGGCACAGACTTTCCCAGGTTACCCTTTCCTCCCCTGGTCCAAGGGAGCACCCTGCCTGCAACTCACTGCTGCCTTTTTCCCCCTCTCTTCTTGCCAGCACTTCAAGCAGCTGGTGGATGAACTGCAGGCGAAAGGAGTGGGGACTGTGAACAAGGCTTTGACAGAGTCCTTCAAAATCCTGAGGGAGGTAAGAGAGTGGGTGCCGATGCTTGCGTTGGGCACACGTGTCCCTGCCCACCTCTACTTTCCCCTTTACATCTAATGACTTAGCACATCCATCACGGTGCTGCAGGGGGGAAGCGGTATGAGCTGATCTTATGGGCCTCAAATTTGTGACAAGCAGTGTGCAGGGGTGACCTGGCTTTGGGGAGGTGTCAGTTTGCGTGTGATGCGCCAGGACTGCTGGTCCCTGCCCAGGAGGGGTCAGCTCTTTAACGAGCACCACAACCAACCATCGTCCAGGCGCCTTGGTTATAGATGGTGGCAATAAAATATAACCGATCAGCTGAGGGCAACAATTCTGGTCATAAGTAATGTTATTAGTGAGCCTTAGTAAGTAGATGATGATGAAGGCGGGAAAGATTATTCTCAGGCTTCAGGCTTATTTCAATGTCACTTTGCTGGGTATCAGTGCTTGGGGAAAAAAATCACAGGTACAGGAGAATTAATCAGTCAATCTGATCATGTCCTGTGATAAGAATCGTAAATGATTCATTGCCTTATGTGAACAATTGGGACTTCAGTAGCCCGGAGGTGAACATATGACTTAACTCTCTTTCTTAAGGAATGTTAACAAAAAAGGACCAAGAACCAGCTGAGCACCCCTACCTCTTCATGGCACTGTCTGTAGTGGGGTTGGCCTAAAGATGCCAATGCCTTTGGTGCTGACAAAAATATGTACACGGTATCATGCTAGTGGCCGTAACGATGGTGTTGACATTAAAGGTAGAGGTATTGACACCCTGGGAAGGATTCTCCACTCTTAGTTATTTTACAGACTGAAAGTTTAAGTTTGTTGGCTATGGTAATGCTGTTCCTCATTTATGCCAGTGTAACCATGATCAGAATTGAACCCAGGGGTGGTGGTAGCTGAGCTGACTTGTCAGTGGTAATAGAAGCATAATGGTTTTAATGGCAATCTGAGAAGAGCATGGTGGCATCGCCATAACAGGCTAAGCACTCCTAAGTAGTAATGGTTCCACATCTTTAGAGGGAAGATAGTTACTGAGATGATCAGGGAAGCAGTAATAATATAAACCTAGAACAATTACATGGACTAGATTCCTGCTAGATTTATCTACATGTATCCTTTCACTTTATGACAAAGTCAACTTTATCTTTAAAACCAAAGATCTAGAGCCTATATAGGCCTGTGTTGTATAAATCTGAATATTTAAACCATTTTCCACCAGAAGAAAAACCATTTCTTAATACCTAATGTAGCACTGGTTATGTGCAGTGGCAACAGATTAGAGAAGCCCAATGCAGTACAACTGCAGACACTCTCAACCAACACAAGTTTGAAGGTCTCGGTGGAGAATAAGAAAGCCTGCTTGCCCCAGCTGAAATAGCAGCTGGTCATGCCAGGCACAGACAGCAAAACTGGTCTGGGTCTACTAATGAGGATACCTCACACCTCTTCGCTGGTAGACATGGCTTGCCCACTAGACTGAGCAATCCTCAAGCCTCCAGGAGGCAGGACCTTTATAAAACCCTGCAAATCTGGAGCTAGGCATGCCCATGGGAAATAGAAGGTACCTGGTAGAACAGCCAAGACAGAAGAAAACTGTTCTTCACTGACATAGCTGGACCAAAAACACCTCCAGAAAGTGATGTCCATGCAGCCCAGTGGACTAATGTAACTCCACTGCAGTAATAGAGAAGAAACAGCTCTGAGAGTTCTCTTAGTACAGCACCCAGTGGTGATAAAACCTTCTGATGTTACTCACTCGCAAGGTGAGGTGCTGCTTCCCTCATGCCTTTTGTTATCACCTCAGATCTGGGGAGAGGGCAACTGACTCGGGCACTGGAGCATCTTTCCTTTGAGCATCTGCAGATGAGGAAAGGTGGCTGTTGTCTCAGTGACTGCTGCTGTCATGCTTCCCTGCACCTTGGGAACTGCTGCCCATGAAACAGGAGCTCATAAACAGTAACTGTTGTCAAATAAAGGTGTGAAACAGGGCTATATATCCCTTCCAGCCAGCTTTCCTTTCCCAGTAACACCAGTCGCAGCTTTCTTGTAGCGTGTCATTCACTGTAGCATGGACCATGATCGCCTCCTCTTTAGCAAAATGGGACCTCAGTCCAAGGTCACTGAAGCCATCAGCTGGGAGCCTTCTTCGCAGCCAGCTGTGGGATGGCTGCATGTGCAGCAGGAGGGCTGCAGGACCTCCTGCAAGTAATTTTGCAGCTTCATCCCAGGGTTTCTGTCTGCCTGGTGACATTCAGAAGAGACAGAGATTGTGTCCCGGTGCACACGCAGCAGTGCCAGAGACTGCACATACATAGGCATGTAGAAACACACCCGTTGTCCTGCAGCAGCCTTCCCCAAAATGTAGCTTCCCTGGTAAAGGCTCATCTAGAGAGTGCCTTGATAACACCAGCCGGAGGACCCCAGGCTCTGCAAGTGCCACAGCTTAAGGCAAAACATACCTGCCAAGTGCTTGTATGTTGTAAGAACTCTCTGAAATCTTCTCTTGGAGCATCTTAGAGCTGTATCAGTGACAGGAGAGGAAAAGCGTTTTCGTCAGTGTGCGCTGAAACAAATCTGTGCTGCTGCAGTCGTGCGGGCAGGAGAAGGGGGAACTTTGGTGGAACTGGCCACCCCCTTCCCATCAGACAAAATTCACATTCTCAGCTTGTAATCGTAGCCATTCCTCACAGACTGTCCTGTTATTGTTCGCAGTAGCATACACAAGAGAATGAAAATGAAAATTGCTACATCACACTGATGAAACAGGCTTTGCTGATTACAACAGACAACCAGTAATAATATCTGTAATGAAAGTGACTGCAAAACTTCCCTGGTAATTTTCCTCAGCCCAATTGCTTGTAGAATTAATAGCCCAGCAGAGACCTACTCAATGAGGTATGAGCAGCAGAGAGGGGCTGAAGAAGAGCACAAACTCTTGCTGTCTTTGTTTTTCCTCCATTACGTTCTGGGGTAGACAGGGCATATTTTAATCCATGATGCAATTTACAGAATTGCTTCAGGAAAATAGTTAGCCAGAGCCTCCCCTGCCCCTCTCTGGCATGCGCAATAAACCACTTAAACTCTGTATTTCAATTTAGCCACAGCAAGTGGTTTCAATAAAATATGTGTCCCAGGGAAACCACGGTCTTAAGCACACATTTATAAAGTGCTTCAAAACTCTCAGGCGTCAAGTGCTATCTTTTGAGCTCCTTTCTTGTTTATCAGGTTTTCGTCTATCTCGCTGCTATCATCTCCTCTTTGTTTCAACAAGCTTGGCACGTCTTGTCCTCTCACCCTTTTCCTGTAGGATTTATACCCCTTTGTTCTGGCTGCTGCTCTGCTCACGGCTGCTGCCAGGCTGCCTGCCTTCCCTGACACGCCATCCTCCCAACAGTACGTAACTGCTGCAGCTGAGAGCTATCAAGTGCTAAGCAGAGCAGAATAATCACTTTCCTTGTTTTACACGCCATAGTCCTCTTGTCGCAGCCTAAGACAACAGCTACGTTTCTTCAGACGCTGTCACGTCGTTCACTCCTATCCAGCTGATCCGCCTCTGAGGTATTCCTCGCCAGTCAGCACGCGGGTATTTGTGTGTTGTTGCGTGTTTTAGCCTCTGACTATCCTTTCCAATGTACATCAACTGTAAAAGATATTTCTATACTTTTATAGATATGCCAAATACACGTGTGTACATATATACATATGCAAACACACGCCCCTAATCCTAAGAAAACTGTATATATATTCATATATTATGTATGAATCTTTTAGGATTAGAGAGTACAAAATCTGTGACTCCTTTCTCAGGAGCCACTCAGGGTATTTTGAAAGCTGATATTTTTCTGACCCTGTGGAGGAAAAGAAACCCCAGGTTCTGCTATCTGAGGCCACCTTGGAATGATGTCTTCTCTTAACACCAAGCTGTTTTAATAATACCTTGACTCGCTGCTGGACTCAGAAGTGACATAAATTTTGAAGCTTATTATGAGTAGGTCATTCTAAAATGGCTATAGGTGAAAAAACGGTGAAATTGGTATTGGTAGCTGCAACCTAGATTTCAGTGAGACATAAAATTCTGCGTAACTTGAGCAAACTGGTGTCATAAGAAGAATGAACCTGTCTGCTGATGTGAGTAATCAAAGGAGTTTTTGGCCTCTAATGCCCCAGCTGTGTGGGGAAGCATTAGCATCTGCGCACTCACCATAGGACTGTATTACTGATTTTTCTAGCAACATGCTAGATGTTTAAGGATAATTGCCCATCTAGTTTCTTCCCTTCTTGTAACACACATTTTCTGCTGATTCCCTCTTCATCCTTTGGGATCTCACACAGTCCCAGTCAGATCTCAGCCCATGAGGCAAGTAGTCCAGCAACAGCTTCTGCAATTCTTTCTCTTCCTGCTGAGCACAGATTATTCAAATGCTTTCAATTAACTTTTTCTTTAACCTTACCACTTTGTGACCCTGACTATAATTCATTCATTCTTTTCTTTGTTTCTTATCATTTCAGTGTGTACCCAGCCATTACAATATTGTCCTTTTGGTGATGAAGTATGGAGGCTATAAAGCATTTCTGTCTGACCATTTCCCTCTGGTTTTTATCATCTGGCAACATATTCTTTTTTTGCTCCCTTTCTTGTTTCTTCTCTGAGCATTTATAAATCTTTTCTTGATTTTTATGGTCCTGGATTCTGCAGCGTATTTTTCAGGATATGCAAAGCTCAGAATTTCCTGTTTACACCATTTTGCTTAATGCCATCTCTTGTTTCTTCACCGTCTTTCTATTTCTTTCTCTACTGCTAATTTTCTACCCATGAGACACTTTCCACTAAGCTTGAATTTTCAGTAATTCTGGAGGCAGGTCTGCATAAGAACAGGGCAGGAGGAGACGGAGAGGGGCTGCTTAGTCATCTGGCCAGATGTGTACATCAGCATGTGTGCCTGCACATCACTGAGCTATGCTGATGTTCCCATTGCTTTGCTAGTAACTCTGTGCCAGGCTATAACTGCAAAGGAAATGGCAATGAGTAAACAAGAGAGTACAAGAGACTATGACCCTGAATTAATTAAATCATGCCTGTTACTCCTGGCAATGTGACCAAAGTTATACAGGAGAATATGTGGCTCCAGCTGCAGCTTTAGCCCACATCTCTTCAGACATCTGTTATGTGGACATCTTGTTCTTCATCTCCCCTTCTTTCACGCTCCTGAGACTTCAGACAGAGCTGGGAATTATGCTTAGAGCTCGATATGAATGCTGTCAGAGCATTTGCTACAGCTGCAGCCAGCCACAAAAGGACCTAAAAATCAGGGATTACCTCTTGTTCATTTTTTTTCTAAATCTGTTTTTTTAATCTCTATTTCTATGACACTGATGATCTCATTTTCCCTGTTGAAAATATCATCTACTCCTGTAATTAGGAGATTGCTGGTTCTGATACAGCATCTAATTTCTCACTGTCTCAGTATTCTGAGGTCTGAAGCAAACTACATGAAAAGATGTCTTAAGTAGCTTGATGAAATGGTGGGTGACCTTAATTAAGTGTTAATTTAATAATCATGTAAAGAAAACATGTTGTAGATTGCAACAGTCTGGAATAAGCTGCTTTCCTAGCCACAAGGTTTGCATATCTGTGATCTGAACCTCGTTCTGACAGCATGTCCTGCACCATCGCAAGCCCACGCCTCCCTAATGGACGCTCGCGCTAGCCTTCCTCTCTGCTAATCTGCACGCAGCTGATCCCTGTCCTAGGAATAGCTCACCTGAGACTCCTTGTCTTTTTCCTACCTGATGGTCTGCAGCAGAATCCCATAGAGCTGTCAACTGCTCTTCCCCTTTTGTTTGCACCTAAGAGCATCCTGTGCTTGTTCCTGTTGTGCACTCTCAGCCTTTGCCCCGGGTCTCCTTGCTGAGCAGGGGGCACACGTGCTCTCACCCCTCCTGGAGCTCCAATTACCCTGTATCTGGCACGGGTGGGTTTTTTCCATAGCACAAGGTGTAGAAGCTCTCTGGACCACTGGAAATGTCAGATCTTGGGGACTCCATAGAGAAAGACATGGGAGATTCCCGCTGCTGGGTCAGCATGACCACAGCAGCAGAGATACAGGTTGTCTCCCGTCTGAATGTGCTGCTCTGGTGATATGAAAGCGGAGGAGCACACCTAACCACCTCACCTGATTCAGTCATTCACATGGATGTTTTGCCTGAGAACAGCTAGTTAGAAATGGCCCTGTTACATCATCCTTCTCTCTCATGATCATCTGTACTGACTCTGGTCAGTGATACAAGTAATGGGATTATCATGAAAGAGGGAGAGATGGGTTCATACATGTGGTCATTCAGAAGGCGTTGAATCTGTGATTACTGTAGTAGAGTAACAGGTACTTCGGTGATATTAACAGTAATGTTGAAGGAGGTAGGACTGATAACATAAATGGTGGTAGAAGGAGACGTTATGGTGCTATTAGCACTGAGCCTGGTAATTTCATAATAAGGGATGATCACAGAGGCAATGCACAGTGGTGAAATGACTGGGGAAATCTGGACTTGGAGTTCACTTCCAGGTATCGGTGGTCGCGATGTTAATCTACAGTGGAACCACAGTACTATCCGTGTTGGTAAAGACGTTTGCCTTCTATCCTGACATAGCATTACCAAACCAGAAGGGACTTGTTGATTGAACCCTAAAACATCTAAAAAGTCCCAGTTCATACATACCCTGTGCTCTCGTTCTCCCATCTATTACTTGCTTTCATTTTATGCAATTAGTCTTGCCACTTGGATACCATTTTCCTCATTTAGTAGATACAACTACCCTCTCCAGTTTAAAATTGCTTCTGCATTTGATATAACCTTAGTCACCCTTCAGTTAGTCTCCTGTGTGCCCTCCATCTCATGCCATTGCCTCTCATTAATCTCTTGTGCAGAGTTGTCATATCCTCCTCTTTCCGTATCTTTTAATTCTGCATCAGTTTCTGTGTCCTCCTTTGCTGTTAGACTTCTTGCTCAGAGTGTAGAAGCAGTGAGATGCTGTGCAAGGAGAAGTACATACCGACACCAAGCTAGAAGCCACAGCAAAGTAGCTGCTCATTTTTGTGCCTTAATGTCCACTGCTACCTCCTGTGGTGACTGCTCATTCAACACCTGTGTTGGTGCTGCATAAGGCACTTGGTTCTCTAGAGCCGGTGTACCTGAGGGCATGAGAGGCAAGTGGCTCTGCATGCAGGAGCACGAGAGAAGCAGCGTGCGAAGGCTGGTCTTCCCAGATGAACAAGGAAAGGGTCTGGCTTGCCCGTAAGTGCAACACCTCTCCATGTGTCCTTGGGAGCACATCAACCTTTGTACCGCAGTCCCAGCATACTTCCACTCTACCTGAAATATCACTTATGCACAGATAACAGGTCCTCTGTCATTACAGTTTATGGCCTTTCTATCTGGCACGTTCATAACCTATTTCAGCTCTGACGGCAGTAGCCTTCTTTTTTCATGTGCTCCTGCCTTTCTCTGCAGATTTCTTCTTTTGGCAGATTGATGGATTTACCCTGAAATAATGAGTCTGATTCTCCCCCTCCTCACACATTTTCTGCCAAAAAAAGTGACGGTTATTGCTGTCAAACCAGAATTGCAGTGTTTACGGTCGGTCTGTAGTTTCCATAAAAGAACGCAACTGTGCGAGATGTGAGGCGGCTGGGAATTGCACCCTTCCTCCACAGCACTTACTTTCTCCTTACTATCTGACTTCTATAAAGCCTCCTGGGTCCACATGTGCTAGGAAGAGCTGTATAAATAAAAAAATAATATGCTGCATACAAACACAGTCCTTATTTAAGCGGAAGTCTTTCTGAGCACAGTGTGAAGTCTGCAAGAGGACATCGGGATTGGGCCCATTGTAAACAAATACTCTGCAATTACACAGAAACGGCCTGTGCTGCAGTAACTAATGCTCTTGCTCTCTGCTTGTAGTTCAGAAACGCCGGTCAAGGAGGCTTGTGTAACCAAGCTATCATGCTGATCACAGATGGAGCAGTGGAGGATTATGAAGCTGTGTTTGAAAAATACAACTGGCCAGATCGGAAGGTTTGTCCGGGAAGTGATAAATAGAAAGGGCGAGGAAAGGCGCTATCCTGCTACGGTGGGAATAGAAGAGCGTGAGCCAGGATGTCAGGCAGAGCTGGGCATTCACCATCCTCCAATACCTGTGTGTATCCTGCTGTAAACACAAAAAAAAGCAGCCAGGCAGGAGCCTGCTGCAGTGATTTTAGAGGTGGCAGGATCACAAATGGATATCTGTAGGTCAATGAAGATTGATATCATCCTGACAAAATGATACATATCTTCCTGATAAGATGATTGATATCATCTTATCATCCTGATAAGATGATAAAGACTGAGCAGAGTATTTTAAAATTTAAAAAAACCCAAAACTTTTGCAAAGAATTTTAATCCCATCCAGAACTGTTTATAGTTGGCCATGTTTGGGAAAGGTTTGGCTACTACCGGTTCTTATGGTAGGCAGGAGAATGGCCCAGACAACCTCTGTAGGTGCCTGCCATCCCTGTTTACCTTGAGGTCTGTCATTGCAGGCTTCTACAAGCAAAGCAGACTGTAGAAATGGAATAGACCATGGCTCATCCTAAACCTTCCTGATTTATTTGTTTACCTCATCCCAGCTAGCAACAATGCACAAAGGGAGAGAAGCAGCCTACTGAGAGACCAGAGCGTGGGGCTGTTAAAGCAGTTTATTTCAGGGTTGGCTCTTTTGTTGTTGGTCAAACACAAGAGAAATGGTGAAGCTTTCTCTAAATGATTCATGGGGCCAACTGTTCCCCTGGGTAAAGGATTCCTGTGAGCTATAAACCTCTCAGCATGTGGTTGCTGAGTGCCTAGCAGAGCTACTATCATAAAATAAAACAGCATTTGCACTTCTGCCTTGTTATTCAGATGATCCCGGGTGCTACTTGGCTTTCTGGGCTTATTGTAATTGGAAATGAATTTCCAGCCCACAAAATGCGAAACAAGATGTGAGCAAGAGGCTCCTGTCTCTGTGTGAAGGCAGAGCTATTGCTACGCGCCGCAAATGGGCATTCGTGCCGGCGTATAACGGGATGCCAAACCTCGGCCGTTTGGATTTGGTAGCATATTATAGCCCAGTTCTTCTATCTTTGTGTTCTTGTTCCCAGGTCCGGGTTTTCACTTACCTCATTGGACGGGAGGTCACTTTTGCCCCCAAAGTGAAATGGATTGCCTGCAACAACAAAGGTGCTGTATGGGAATGGTTCCCCAAGCCCCGTCACGCATATCACACGTGGACTGCAGCCTTGGGGCCCTGGACCCCTCTAAGGCTTACCCACAACAGCTGGGGCCCATGAGTCCTTGGTTGGAAGATAACTTAAGGAAAAAGCAGACCTCCTCTATGCTGAGCCACCACATTTTCCTGTCGTGGTGCCAAGGGACACTATGACCGAGATCATGCTGGCTGTAGTCCACCTAAGTCCCTGTGCTTATTGTGTCCCAGTTGCTGGCTTTTGACAATCTGTTTAAAGCTCTGTCAGAAAGCCTGACATCTTTTGTCCGACAGGTAAAACTAACATCTCTTCTTTAAAGATTTTACAGCATTTTTCACAAGGTCTGCAGGTTAACTCCTATATCCTGGCCAAATTCTTTGTGTGCCAGTGGTTTCACTGAGGTGCCAGAATAGCTTGTTAATTCCATCCCAAAACCAATATTGTCTCTAGCTGGCATGAAATGGCGTGAATGGGAAAATCCACCCAGAGTAGGGGAGTCTATGCATTTGGGGCCAGTTAAAAAGTCCAGGGAGCTCTATGAGAGTCTGCAAGGGTAAAGGAAGGTGGGGGGGGTGCGGGGAAGTCTTCCGTTTGGGCATGACTTGGCATCAGTGTGGCTGGAGAGAGTCAGCAATGCTTGCTACATCAGTATCCTGCTTAAACAGGGAAAGGAAAGGAAGACTGAAGCTCAGGGCTGACTAGCTAGGTGTATCAGCTCTTTTCCTGTCTGAGCAGTGGCTCCAGCAGACTCTGAAATGCATGGGTGCATTTGCTACTGAAAATAATTGACAGATGAGAGCTGCTCACCTGCAGAATGTCTCTGAGCTGGCAACGTTCAAGGCTCAAATGTTAGTCTCTTAGCACTGTGAATCACACATAACATTTTTAGCTTTTGTTAGATGAAACAAAAACCTGGATTTCAGGTTGCATATTCAGCCATAAGATTAGTGACAGGGAATTCACGGTGCTGTTGGTTCCCCGTAAAATGTGAGAATGGATTCTCCTGAATAAACCAAAGAGAGAACAAAAATATGCTCTTTGCACTTGAATTCTCACTTACCAGACTTGAGCTCTGCAGAAGGCTCACTGATTTTGGTTCTTCTGTTTCAACACATTGTATAGCTCTGGTAGTCCTTGTTTTTAAGAACATTAAATCTGTTTCCACATCACAAAGCTTATCAGATCATGAGCCCTTTCACATGGCAGTCTTTTCCTAGTGATAACAAAAGTTTTCCATCTGTCTGACATATTCTGTCCTATACCAAATACAACCACTCAGTTCCATGTGGTGAGAAGCAGGACAAGTGTCCTCGTGACATTACACTGTGTTAGCATTTATAACCAGTTAAGCAGCTAGTTTTGAGGATCTTTTGATAACTTGAAAACATTCTTCCCCTGTACTCCTTGTTGTAGTGTTAGACTGTTATGGGTCTCTCTGCAGGGACAAGGCTCTGGAAATAGGTAACTTGCACTTTTATGTTCTGCTTACAATGGGTAGATGGAAGTAGTCACCATCCTTGGATGTAAAGCTAGGGAGACTGAAGAGTAGAGCGCTGGAAAAAATGTGGAAGAGAAGTTGGGAGTTTGGGCTTAATATAAAATTGGGCAGAGTAAGTGGGTAGCCTGGTGGAATACTTTGTTTGCATATATTTGGCCTTCAGGACCAAAGGCAGCCTGATTAGCAGGTGGTTTTGCCTAAGACTGAAAGCAACATTTTACATCTGCTTGGCATGATTCTGGTTATATCAAGGCTCTACTCTTGAGCATTGGTCCAGTATTTTGAGAAGAACAGAGCCAGTGTTTAGAAACTCTAGATTTCCACAGAAACCTGTGTCCACAGAAGTTTGTGGGTACAAGGTATGTCAAGGTACTTTTTGTAAAGAGCAGAAAAACCATCTGGGTAGATACAGTCTTTGACATCTAGTTTTCTAGCTTTGCACGGACACTCATTTAAAAATACAGAAGATGTGTTAGCAGAGTGACTCACACCTCTGTCTCTCCACGAAGGCTACTACACCCAGATCTCCACGCTGGCGGATGTCCAGGAGAACGTGATGGAGTACCTGCATGTGCTCAGCCGTCCCATGGTCATCAACCACGATCATGATATTATTTGGACTGAAGCCTACATGGACAGTGCGGTAAGGACCTACAGCACAAGCCTTTAGTCAGCAAACAGTAGGGCCTATGGGCCAAACTGACAAAGGTGTTAGACACCCAGCTAGTATTAGGCATATAACTTGTCCCAGTTTCCCATCTAAATATCTCATGTGTGTCAGAATCCGAATAAAGTCCTGAAATTTATGTAAAACCAGGATTTGGTTGATTGATAGAAATTACTGATCTCTGGCTCTGCTGAGACCGACAGTATTTCTTTTCTGCTCACTCCTGGAATTGAGATGTGTATGCAGACTCAGGTCTGAATCTGCGGTGACCCAGGAGCCCAGGACTAATCACAGAGGCACAGCATGACTTAAGTAGTGCTTCTGTGAAAGCAGGTTACGTTTTAAAGGATTATTCACAGGAAAGATTATTTACAGCTCAGGATACGGGTCACAGAGATTTATTTCCTCCAGCCCAGTAGCTACCTGCATACTGCTTGCCACTCAGAGATGCAGACCTCGGCTTGGGAAGCAGGCTCACCCTTTGGTTCCTTTGAGCTAGCAAGACGTAGTCACCGCAGCGGCCCTGGGCTCAGCCCTGTGGGTAAAGGACACGCCACGAAAGACCAGACAGCCAGCACTCCCACTGCCCCTTGGTCTGTCTCAGGCCTGCCCTACAGGAAGACTTAAGATATTTGGACCACGAGCAGCTGCTATTACAGCGTTGTGTCGCCAAGGCAGCTTTGAAATT